GTAGTTGTAGTAGGCTTTTGGTCGATGGATGGCATTACGGGCAATCCTACTCTCATACTCCCTCTGGCAGTGTCTTTGAATCTTAAGTGCCCTTTCTGTCGCCGCCCAATAATGCAGGTACTGTTGATAGCCACCCCTGCTCCTGAGGCGGATACAAGCTTTTCGCTTTATGGCTTGTGTCCTGACTACCACTTTTGCTCACCAAGGGGGCCGACCCCCTCTCTCGACCCTTCTTAGGGGAGCGAAAGCATCCGTTAGCTGGGTGATGTTGTCCTTGAACGACTGCCACTCCTGCTCCACGGTGAGGATGTCGTCCGTTGACCACTGGATTGAGTCCCTCCTTAGCTTGTGTGGTACCTGGGGAGGGTTTCCCCTGATGAAGAACATGAGTATTCCATGGTCGCAACGCTTTAGTGAAGCAGATACCCAGAGTTGCTCCACGTCATGCGGCATCTTTGTCAGAACTAAGTCCAACATGCTGGGCCTTTGCCCCTCTCGCCACCTAGTGGGCTGGTTGACGTGCTGCATCAGGGGCAGCATTGTCATCAGATCCACTAGTTTTCTACCAAATCCAGAGAGAGGGGCCCACAGACTGTCCCAGTCAACCTCTGGCGAGTTGAAATCTCCTGTGATGACCAATCGCTCCGCGTGATTGTTTATCCTTGTTAGATAATCACACAGGTGGCCATCCTCACCCTCATCTGAGAGTGGTGCCCTGTAGACACCTACTACAGTCACTTTACAGTTTTGGGCTTGTATGTTGCACGAGCACGCCTGGATATTCGGCGTGCATATGAACTCGCCATCAGACTGAGCCAGTGTGTCCAAGACAAGGATTAGTATGCCGCCTCCACCCCTGCCGTCTACCCTGTCTGACCTATACGTGCAGTATCCTGTGAGTTGACGACTCGCCGTGGTGATGGCATCACGCGACCATGTTTCAGTGATCACGATACAGTCCGTTCCTAGGGCTTTGGCCTTTAGTTCCCTCCACTTGTTGCCTAGGCTGCAGGCATTCGTGTAGAATGCCGATAACCCCCCAGCCCAAGCGCCCCTCCTTGCAGGGATGCTCCCAGAGTCTAATGCACACTGGGGCATCCCGCTCGAGTGCTCCCTTCGTTTTTTGTCACAGGCATACTCTTTGTCCTCAAGCGCTGAGGCACGACGGAGGGGATGGCGGCGGCACTAGCTCGACGAGCCACCGTAACCCTGTGGGTAGGTAAACCCTCAGACCTATCCTTTTGAGCAGTTATGGGAATTATCACCCATTCTACTGGGGTGTGCTCTGGGACTTATTCTTTACAACTGTTACCTGTGGGTGATAATGATATTGTAGCTGAGCCAGACCTGGGAGTAGATGCGGTTGGTTGGGCAGCGAATGCCGGTGACTGATGTTGCAGTCTACTAGTTTCTATCCGGGGTGAGTTATCCTGGGAAGCGTAATATGTCTTCTTAGTCGGTGATGAATGTCGACGAGAACCAGCGTACATAGATGCATTATCTGGCTTAGCGTCTACCTTCCCATTCGACAGACTTTTTACTCTCCCCGCCTCCGCTAGGAATGTGCCCCTGAATCTCTGATTTTCAAATTCTACGAGGACTGGCCTAGGAAAACGGGTTATGCCTGCCTGCGCGGTGGACCATTTTCCAAGCCTGAAGATCCGTTTAATCAGTGCGTGGGCCGGGATTTCCACCTGTCTGAGTAGGTTGGAGACACGATGCTGTAGCGACCATTCACATCCTATTCTCAATGTACCTTTCCTCCTGCGCACCTCATTGTTTTATCACACCAAGGCCACCTCTTTGGTCAGCACGTATTTGCTTTCACTTTCCGCACGCCTGCTCACGCCTCTGTATCTCTCCCTTGCTCTGCAGATCTTTACAATACAAGTCGTCCTCCGTTTCGTGAATCGCCTTGTTCTCTTCTCGTACGAACGTACGTTTTCGACCCATACGTATTAGCTCGGGGTACCGATAACCTAGTTCCTACAAATTGGTGAGCCCTCATTTTATTTTACTTACGTTGGAAAATTTTTGTTTTCAGAGGAATTTTAATTTCTCTAAGTCACGTTTGTGCTAAATTGTCCGCGTATTTATTTCCATGGACACACTCTCTTGCGTATAATTTTAGATTATATTTACCCTCAGTTCGCGGTTTTATCATAATTTACTATTGCATTTTTGTCCACTTCCATTTTTCCAACGTAGTTTGTATTGTAGGTGCTATTCGGTAATATTTATGTGGCCCGTTCTAAAATCGCACATTATATATTGTGCTTAAGTATGATTAGCCCCAATCATAAGCACTCCATAGACAGCGAAGCACTCTGGGCCCAAATCAGGGCTCCTGAGTTCATGCCGGAGGATCCAGAAGCGTTCCTCGCACTTCTGGAATCGCGATTCCATGAAGCTCGCATCACCGGGCAACTGTCCCGTTATTATGAGCTGTTGTCCACGATCCCGCGCGATATGCTTATCAGCTTCAGGGATATTTACATGAATATCCCTGC